CGGTATAGTATATGCGACTATTGCTTATTGGGAATATGGAGAGTTCCTTTTTAATTTTCTACATCTACTAGTAAACTATAAAGCACTTGGTGAAATCTCGAAAATTTTAAACAGATGGGCGAATCCGTGTCTGTCACTTCAAGGACGTAGCTCAGACGTATAAGAAACTGTAAGAAATTTTAATACGAGATGTTCGACGACATTGCGAATCGTTTCTAAAATTTGTAGGGAAAATATCGTAGAAAAAAAAGCTGAAGCAGGTGAAAATAAAAAAGAAAGTTAATCCGAACCTACCTTTAGGCAATTTGAGTTCTTCAGGGTTCCCCTCCCCTTCGCGTCACATTAAATACGCATTTTCAATTTCTCAAAAGGCACCAGAGCAATTCCAATGGACAGAGACCTAACGTGAATCTATTGGAGTTATTACGAATGAAGTAGGTTTTCCTACCAAGTCTTTTCTTTTGTATCCGCACACAATTTGAATACAGCAACTTGTCTATCTTCACGTATACAGCAAAGTATCGATGCGTTAGACCAGTGAAATGGAAACATGAAAAAAAAGATGTATACTCATATGTGGTATATACTTGAAGATCTATTCACAGATCAGCCATTCATCAATCCTATTAACTGTTGAGTCCAATAGGGGCTGAGGTGAAATAAAGAATTGAAGGCCAAGAGGAAGGCACAACAAGGGCAGCCAATTTACGAAAAGAATAGGTGAAACAGGTTGAACTCTACGCGAAAGAATCGACGAAGAAAACTCTGAAAGTTTCTCATGGTTTCTCAATGGCGCGAGGCTATTTCGTGCGTCGAATTGCAAAAGGGGAATAGCTTTCCCTCTCGTCGCTCATGAAAATTCTGGTATTCTGGAATTGTTCGATACCCCGCGATACGGAAAAGTTTCCCCGATGGATTTTGATGCATGTAAATGCGCGTTCTCGCGATATCTCCCTACGTCCACTTTCCCATCGAGTATCACAAGAATTGTTATATCGAAAATATATTTACAATCAAAGTATACGCATAGAAGTCTATGAATATTACTTGCCACGTAAATGAGCTATTGGAAATCTTCGTAATATATTCTTTCCTTTTAGCATAAAAGTTCATATATATGAATTTTTCCAATCTACTTTCACTACTGCCCACTAAAAGATAAGAAACTTGGCTTAGATACATCATCGACGCACCTGCCGTAATTTCCGGGGCTTCATCGTACTTTACCAACATTCTCTCTCTCTCTCTCTCTCTCTCTCTCTCTCTCTCTCTCTCTCTCTCCCCCTCCCTCTCAGTCACTCTATCCCCTTCTCAGTTTCCTATGAAAAAAGTCCCAACGACGGATTCTTGGGCTTTTGGCACGACCGACGGAAATATAGAAATCCTACGAACGGGTCATTAAGGTTGGAGGAACATTAAACGTTATATGTGGATTCTGTGAAGTTATTCATTTTCTGTGACACGCTCGAACCGAGTTTAGTTAATAATTAATCAAGAACTGATCCACCTCGGGTTAACCTCATTGTTCTCGATACATCCATGCGCACCTCTGTACTTCGACTAATCGCACAATCGAGTAATCAATATCTTTGATGATCAGGTCGTCAGCTGTGTAAACGTAAAGAGAACGTAACCGTAATATTTGTACGGATTAAGGTGTAATCTACAGACTCACTCAAGCTATCAATCCGTCTTCTATCAGCCTTTGAAGACCCTCCCCCCGGGGCTGAAGACTACTACCCCTAAGTACCATAATCGTATACCCTGGTCTAGCCTGAGCGAAGGGATGCCTGGGAAGCAGGAAAGCAAAGTAAACACATGTTATATGCTGTATTACCAAGATACAGTGTCTCTCCGATCGAGAAACTGAGGTTAATAACCGTGTGGTTAAGGGTTCCTGGGAGGATTACGAAATTTCATAACTGGCTGCAGAAGGGTGCTAAATTAAATCTTTACGTTTAACGTTTATTACTTAAATGAAGGATAAGATGGTGGAGACCGGGTACACTTATCTCCATCTGTCGTGAAATACTGTTACTGCAAAACAACCCCCTAAGCGTTACATACCTATACCATCTTCGTTTTAACTCCACTGGTGTTGACGATTTATTTTTATTGTTCGTGCACTTTGTTTTATGCTCTGCGGGGGAATTGGCAGCGGGAGGGAGGCAATTACATATTTTCACGGATTTAATAGGATTCATGCAGTGTGTAAACCTCGGATATTCTTCGATATTTATGACGGATAATAGGGGACGATCGATTCGGGTAATAACGATTTCTACGACGTTACCATTTCGACGTTACTTTTTTCAGAGCCGATTTCCTATCTGTATGAAAATGGTCGTTGGGAAAGATATGACTTATACTGTAATCCACTATTGCCAGACTGAACGCAGATACAAAAAATATATCACGGTGAAATTATTACTTTTTTTTTTTTTTTTTTTCACGGGTACACTTTAATCCTTCGCTTTGCTTGATTACGTTAATGTGAATTCTTCGTTGGATGCTTAAGCACTGGCTGTTATCTTCGTTCATATGGATTCTTTCTGTTCAAGTGCTATTTGTAACTCGTTAAAATATTACGTGAATATTATATGATACGGTAAAATTTCAGTCACGTTTTCAAGCATTTTTCGACGAATTTACTTGTCTCTAGTTAAATATACTTTATAACGTTTAATATTCCTTATAGACATAACTATCAAATACAAGTATCAGCAGCATACTTTAATTTTGAGAATATTTTGAAAAAACAAAACAGAGATAATTATTATAATTGCAACCCCTATCTCAGCTAATAATATAGATAACATCAATCACCGTTTGAACAATACTAAATTTCCATATATGGACAGGATGTAAATGCTTTCACACACATGCAGAACGTATCGCGCTGATTATAACAGTCTGTTTAGAATTTTCATATTAAATTTATTAGACGCGATATTTGCATACTGAATTAATAAATTTCGATCAATCAATTTGATTATATTTTTTATCACGTTTTGTCCATGTTTCGACCATGTTTCGCCCATATTTCGAAAATGCTTAAAATGACGTCTTTGACCCTGTGCATATATGGCGTTAGGTCTATGTATTCATCCGGTACTCATTCGTGGGGTCAATCGAGCGTAATCAAAGAACAAAACGAAAATTTCTCGTTCCGGTAATGAGGCAATTCTCCCGCTAGAGTGCACTAGCGAAACGAGACAAAAAAGCAGAATATAAAAGAAATGCAAAAAAACACCAAGTGGAAAAGGGATAAAAGAAAAGAGAAACATCCAGCTGGAGAATTCGAATCCAGGAACGAACTAGTACCTGGCAGGTACGATTCTGTTGCCATACAATATTCAATCATACATGCGGCTCACGATTCCATCCTACGTTCCGAACGCATACGTGAACGTCAGTGCGACCTCGTGAAGTACCTACGCGTCCCTGTACAGATAACAGAGCCGACTGGGATGGCATCTGAATGTCGATGCAAATCGATAGAAGGAAAAAAAAGGAAACAGCTCTAGGTCCATATTCGCTTTTTCGTGGTTTAGAAAAATCTTTCACGATGGAGATTTCGCAACGAGCTGTCAATTATTTTACACAGAGCTTTCTGGAGGTTCAACAAGTACTGTAGGCTAATTTAAATGTAGGATTGATAAAGCGTTTGAGCATTTGTGGATGTATGTACGATACAATGAAATTGGAATAATTAATTATAAATTTTGAGGAGTTTTATTGGCTTCAAAAGGTATTGGCGATATTTATAAATATATTAAATTTGGGTTAGGGTTTTCCGTTTATGCTAGGTATTATGACTTTACGACTTTATTATGGCATTTTGAATGACACATTTATTACGTACGTAGCTTTCCAAGTGTATTTCAGTTACCAAGTATTCGTGATTTTACGGGAAAATTTACTTCATCTCAATGTCACTCTTTATGGATAACTCTTATTTACACGCAGTCGTAGTTATTTCTATGACTATAATGTTTCGTATTCAATTTTTGGCTCGTACATATATTGATTGAAACATGAAATTTTATTAATACGGTGTTAAAATAATTTTGAAGTTTAATATATTTTTGAAATTTTTTAGCGGAATTAACATCGGTTTTTTGAAGCATTTAAAAAAAAAAAAAGTTGAAGAAAATATGTATTTACTTGAAAACAAATATTTTTTTTTACCATCAAGCGAAGTTACTGGAATTTATTGTACACGAATAAAATCTGTATTATCGATTTATCCATAAATAACTGATGCACGCTTAATGCTCTCTTAACACTCTAATGGATTATAAAACTGCATAATAAAGCTTATGGTTGTTACGTATAACAGTGTATCAGTGTGACGACAACCGTATAGGTAACAGCACAGTACGGTACGTGACCCGTTTATCCAATCAGATCATTGACTCCATGGTAATTGAAGGTTGAAAAAAATGTTAATATTCGAATTGATTTGGCATTGAATCATTTCTGAAACTCATTTCCGTAAACCGTAAGGCAAGTCCAATATCAATCAGTAGGACTGGCTTACGCCTACGATTAAAGTAGAATTGTACGGCGAAACAGGAAATGAAATTTTCTTCGTACTGTATTTTCTCGTTTCCTCCAACAGCCCCTTTTATGATAATCTTGACAAGTCCATTAATCGGCGTCAAATATCCCGCTGAAAACTTGGGAAATATCCGTGGATCCAAAAAGTTAATTAACTAGCGCCCAAGGGTGGTTCTTAATTAATTACGATGTAAGGGTATATTTTGATTTTTTTTTTTTTTTTTTTTTTTTTTTTTTTTTTTTTTTTTTTTTTTTTTTTTTCCATATCCCTATACACTGCGATACACGAATACCTTAATTTAAATTTTTTAATATTTTTTCCTTGTAGCGGCAAATATTGTCAAAAGACAAAGTTCACGGTGATTTTTGACAATTGAATTTTGGATAAGACAATTCAAGGTGTTTCTGACTCTGGTTTTTCATTTTTCTTTTTTCAGATTAGGAAAAAAGTCTGATGGTAATTGTTATTGGTTGCGGGAGGGGAGGGGGGTGCCGCTGACAGAGAAGCTTCAGGGGATGCCAAGGTCAGAGGAAGATGCCGTCGGGAGCAGCTTGGGGGTCGAGGCTGTTCCTTGTCTTAACGATGACCACGATCGTCATAGCGAATTATCATCGTCAACGCGATAACTCCATATATCGAGAACATTATAGTGATAACGTGAGAATGCAAAATACAGCCCGGGCGCAGGGTGAGTTTTTAAATTTAATTTTACATATTCTCTTTAATAAAAAAAAAAAAAAAAAAAAAAAAAAAAAATTCTTTGTTAATGAGTATTTTATTTCGCGTAAAAATTGATGAGCACAAATTTTGCTGAATCAAGCCGAATTTCTATTCGGTTGGTTTATCTGTCACTTTCAAGATCGCATCGACAAAATCATTTTTTACAACCTGTTCGACCAGCCGAACATTCGAAGCAATGCCGACAACTCGATTCTGCAGTAGATAGAAATAGAAACTATTGACGGACCCTCGAAATGCTTTCTAACGATTCTGCAATTTTCCAGAAACGTCAAATTATAAGATTTAACAATAATGCCTATTTCGTCCTCGGAAATGACAGCAAATAATTTATCCACTCAAAGTCGTAGGAATTAACAGGATTTTCCCAGATAGAGACGACCTAGTGCAATTCTTAATGTACCTCGCACATGTATGAAACTATTAAGCAAAACATCTGCGAGAGTAAATGTAATTATCGGTAAATGCTTTGGGGCTTCCTATTTGAAATTTTTTTTCAATTAAGTCGCAGCAAAAGTATGTATAGAAGAATGAACGAGGGTTAATTTCAGTTGAAGTTTATTTTGTCAACTTACAACTGTAACTACGAAAAGTCACTAGAAGATGATCGACTCAATATTTCCAGCCTGGTAAATACGAATTTGCCAATTGGATTATTGAAAATTACTGGCAGTCGACATACGTGCTTTTTGTTGTAGATCGTCCTAAGGTTTTTTATTTCAATTGGAAATTGCCAAAGCTCGAAGGACAAAGACTCGAAGCGAAGAATGAAAACTAAAAGCTCTGTCAGGTCCAAGGTGTACCCACCCCCCTCCCGCCCCAATCAAAAGGGTACATCATTGTCAGAAGAAACAGGAGCGTAATCTAAGGGAGCCAGAGGTCCTTGCCGTGTGGCAGACTCTTTTCTCCCATAGTGGTGTTTCGCACCCCTTCACATCCCATAGCCATTGTCTTTTTGCTGCTGATGTTCCAACCTGCACATGCTGAGCAGCGGCTAAGGAAGAAAAACGAAAGACCGCCCAGAAAGGAAAAAAAAAGCTCAAACCGCGCTTGCGGATGACATAAAATACGTGTGACGTTACCGAATTATATTTTATTAAAGAAACAAGCCCGCCGACCAACCTTTGTCGAGCGTCCGTGGCAGGTGGCGATTACTTAAAATTTTTTACTTCATAAAACCACTGTGGAAGTTTTACGATTTGACGCGACATAGCTTGATATTCTTATTTTGCATATGTACGTTATAAAGTGTGACAGTAGCAATTCGATTCTTTAGCTATTGACATACTAATAGTTTGGTCAAATCGAATTGAAAGGGAAATGCGGTACACGAAATATGATAAGGGAAATTGAATTAATAAAAATTATTTTTTCAATTTTTAAAGGAAGAATGTATTTTGATTATTAAATTTGATTAGCTCGCATTTGCGTAAAGGATTGAGTTAATAAAAGCTCTAACAGAAATGTTATCCACGTGGTAGGACCATATATGCAAATAGAGAACGTTAAAAAAAGCTTTCAAATTCTCTGCACACGAAAACTTTCCCATGTCACGTGCGACGAAATTTTTGAATTTTTTTTTGTTTTCTACCACTTTTTTGACAATGTACTGGACGAGTGTGACATTTGGCAAATCGATATCTATGGAAATGTCCAAGCGAGTGACTCGGCTGGTCTGTATTTCAATACTAATTGATATCCGTCCAATTACCAGACGATTCGAATTCCCCAATATCGAACCGGATCGCAGTGATTACGTGTTCGTTTGTTAAAAGGCCTAAAAAAAGAGAAACGAAAAACAAATACGAAGTAAGAGAAATGAACTTGACAAATGGATCACCCTGAATCGAACGATCGAACGTTTTGGGCATGCTAAAACAGTCGTAAAGAAATCCCTTATTAAAAGAAGAAAATAATAAGGAATTTCGATTTATGGTAATTACACCAAAAATGAAATCCTCAAAGACAAATAACGAATGTCAATATCTCCAGAAATTTCGTACTTCAATTTCTCTTAACCGTAGGAAAAGTCAACGTCGAGTCAACCCCCATCTAATTCCATTTCATCCCCTATACCAAAACTCTGCTTGCGCGTCTTATTCTTCGGTGAGACAAATCATTCGTTACAGACATCAGGTTCCTCGCGCCATTTGCTTTATGCAACTTTCCACTCGGAATAACCTGAAACGGCAAATCCGATTATTATATATAAAACCCAGACACATAATAGCATACGTAAATTTGATAATCGCAAACAATATTCTTACGCATCATACCGACCGCAATATTTCATCAGATAACACACCCAGTGGCCGCCTTATCAACGATCCAACCTAGGCGCACAGTCCAATCAACCGACTCGAAGGAAAAAGAGAAATAAAATTTTGTTCATCTCTTTGGCTTTTCTCATCTAACCTTTCTTTACTCCTTTTCCTTGAAATTTTTTTTTCACAAAAAATAACCTGCAACTAGCAAACCCTGCAGGCCGGCCAATAACTCCGTCCCCGAAGTAAGGCTCTCTATAGCCCACGCGACCGAATCATGGAACCTTTTGCGATCCAGTTGCAGATACCGGACGTTTAAGGATTTAAGACTAACGATCCTTGCTTTACGTTTACGTTCGTTTACGCCAGCACAGTCTTAAGATCGGTTCGCCGGTTAACCGGCAGAATGGATAAACTCGTAAGGATTGTGGATTTAGCGTGTAGAAGAGATTTAATTCACCGTCCAAAGTAAACAGTAAAACCGCGAAAGAGCTGGCTTCCATTAGAGAAAAGTTAACGGTAAGAGAAATGTCCATTTTCAGTAGGTACTTCTCGGCTTGAGTTATGGGTCAATACTTCCACGATGGAGCTTTCGGGCTGTCTTATTTATTTAATTACTAATTACAGGACGCCTTATGTTAATTGGCATATTTCTCAATTACCCAGCTCTACCTGCGACATGCGTTTCTTTGCTTTTAATTACTTTATTACGTAACTTGATGCTTATTACAGTTATTGCCTCTGGGCCAAACTGCCGCTCAGCAACCGTACCTTGCTTCCACCAGCGCCAAGCCGGTTACCTGGTCTTTAGGTGGGATAAGAATTTTCTCAAAATTTTTCATTTCATCTAAATTCTAGGCTGGTCGCATCAACTACATCAATAGTTGCGAACAACGTACAATTTTGCACGAGCACATTTATTGCAAGGAATATCACCATAGCGTCATAGGGAGTCTCCGGACACATGACCGATGACCTGGGTCGGTCACGCCGCTGTTCGCAGTTCATACGAGACATCGCGATTACATATTCGTGTAGCAGTGGTCATACACGTATTCGAGCGATGATCCATCTCGAGATGCCAGTACTCTCCTCTTGGTTCCCACGCCGCAACGGCCGCGTATCTACTTCTCCCAGAGTCACTTCTCGACGCCGTCTTGAACGATCCATCAGTTTTCCCCTTGGTCACGTGGCGTCGCTCCTTCTTCCTTCGGGCTTCTAATTGCCTGAACTTGCGTCCCGACCGAGACCCGCACTCGAAACGGAAAATTAGACGGAGTTCTTTCTCCCTATATTGATACACCTTCCCCGTGGGTCGCCACCGATTACAGTAGAACCGTAGAGCTCGTGAATTGCAAAAACAATAAAAACCCTATTACAGAAGGAAGACAAATATTATTGGGCTTGCTCGCGAAGCCTCCTTTCATCCTTTACCTATTCCTGTGTGGTGACGACAGCCTCATTGCAGTTACCATATCTTGAAAGGCAGCAGCATCCGAATTGTCAACTGACATTATCGTATCCAGTATGGCCGTGGATTTATTTACGTTTCAGAAAATCTTAACAAATGTTTTAAAGTTTTTCCAACCCCACGAAAGATATCCCATGTGAACATTCAGTCGGATTGAAACTTTTTCAAAGTTCAGATAGCATCATTTGCACCCTTGAGAAACACCGAACCACGCTCAAAGTAAAAAAGGCTGCTTTCGTATTTGACGATTTTTATGCAAAGTACAAGCAATCGAGTTAGTAAAGATTTTTTAAGAAAAGCACAAAAAATATCGTTTACGACGTTCGTGTCGTTTGTAAGCCATATGAATTTCGTAAAAATTGTTTCAACAGCGCAGTGGACGTCCGGTTAAGCTAACGAAATAAAAGCAATATAAAGAAAACGCGGTGAAGTGATTTTATGTTCACGATACAAATGAAATTCTGGCTCAGCTGGTCAGAGGGAATTACTATCCAATTATTTACCTCTTTACCAGTCACTATTAAATTCCCACAGTACAGCTCAAACCTTTTGTTTTCTTTATCTCCTTCTCGGCCATCAAAGGATACCCTGTACCTCGAGTAAACCAAAGGAACAAGAAGAACGATTTATTTCTCTGATAAATTCTACAGTTTCCACAGTGCTATTCTTTCACAAAGTATTCCAAACCCAGAGAGCCGATCATGCCGTATCTTTAAGAGTGATTTCTAAGGGGGGAAAAATGAAGAAAGTAAATCAACACTCGGGAATCGAAATAATATTGTGGGTGTTCATATAAAACCGATTCGATCTTATATAAATTATCCTTCATGTTTGTTCTGACAAAATCAACACTCTCGATCGGGGTAGGTAAACATTAACCGCAGGCCCATTTAATACCATTTAAGATGATCCTTCACCTCTTTGCCACTTGATTTTCGCACGCAGCATCCCTGACCATTAGATACCAAGAAAAAAGATTCTCAAGCTTACCCCAAAACGACTGAACGATCACAGTGTAGTTATTTTTCTGTCGTATCCACTTTATTAGAACCGTCATAAATTACTACAGTAATTGACAAGGGATATTGCGTATTACGCCTGCTCTTGGGAATTCTGATCGTGGCTTTTCTGGAATTCACTGTTATCGATCTGTTTTATGCGACGATCCAGAAGCTATAAGTAGATACGAAGATTTATTTAATTCCAAGTCCTCCT